GATCCCTCTCGGGCCGTGGTTCCTGCAAGGCAAGACCCACTTCTGCAGCCCCGACTCACCGAGCACGTGGACGACCTTCTTCCGGCCTCGCTGCGCCCCCACGGGAGCGGCGAACAGCAGGGCTCCCCACAACGCAGCCCAGAGCGCGCCGGGACCGAGGGCCGCCCGAGCGCACACCTGGGGACATAGGACGCTCAATCCAGACCTCAGCCTTTGCTTTTTCAGAGGCCCCGGCAGCGAGGACCGCTCACACGGCCCGGGCCCGCGTTCCAAGCGGAATCCCGGAGGACTCCCCGATGGAGAAGGGCTTGCAAACCTCTCCTTTTCCAGCACCCTCCCGGGACCTCACACACTTACTCCAGCGCAAAGCTCAGGACTCTGGGTTGACCCTTCCAGAGTCCTGCCGGGACACCCCGCCGGACCCTCCACGAAGGCACCCACACCTGGGACTGGGAGCCCCGCCTCCTGCTCTCTCTGGCCCAGGCTCCGGGTAGGGGGGAGGGGAGCGGAGCTGGAGCCGCGGCGGCAGCAAGGTTATCCGTGCGCCAGGAGACTGCAGCAAACGGGGCCGGGGCGGGCGGGGGGAGGGAGAGACAGCAGAGAGCGCAAGACGGAGAGAGACAGAGAAGGGGAAGGAGAGACAGAGACAAAGAGAGAGACACAGAGACAGAAGAGAGACCTCGGAGGGACAGGTGCAGGTAGGGGAGAGACAGGAATGGACGGAGGACCCTCTTCCCTGCCCTCCCCACCCCCCCAAAAAAAAAGTAGAGAAAGAAGAGAGAGGGCAAGGGATAGAAAAGAAAGAGAGGGAGAAAGTGCCAGAAAAAGAGATACTACAGCGTGAGAGATTAAGAAAAGACATGCCGAGAGACGCAGTGTCAGAGAGAGACAGAGACAGAATCTCTAATCGGGGAGAGGCGCGGGACCCCTTTGCCCAACTTTCCACCCCGGGCCTCGCGTCTGCAGTCCCCACTCACCATCCTGCCCGCGCGGCCCCCGCCGAGCGGCCCCTACTGCGCTCCCCGCAAACTCGGGAAGGACTGGGCAGCTCCCTGCGGGCGGTGCAATCCCGGCGTCTGCCTGCAAGGGGAGGAGGGAGGCAGGCGAGGTGGGGGGGCTGGTAAAGGGAACGCTGCTAGGGTGTGCGCATTGCATTGGTGTAGCCAGGGGGCGTGCGGAGGAAGGCTCGCTCTGAACGGGGAGTGCAGGGCCAGAGTGGGGGGTCTCATGATAAATGACACTCTGTAGATAGGACCAGAAGGACGGCCGAAAATGTAGTTCGAGTCCTGGACCGGGAGATTTGAAAAACTTGTTTTGGTCCAGCGAAGGAACCTTCTCTGGTGCTCAGTTTTACCGTCTTTATTTATGTATTTATTTTTTGGAGAGGTTTTTGCTATAGGGCGCGTGCACTCACCAGACAGAGAGAGACAGAGAGACAGAAA